CGTTTTACGCCACTTCCGCTCTAGATGTCTCCTTTTGATTTTCTCCGAGGCCACTTCCTGGTTGTTCCAAGGGGCTGATGTGCGTATGGTTACAACAGGTTGCTTAAGGGGAGCATGGTTATTCAATACAGAACACAAAATTTCGTCAAAAACAGTAAGCAAAGAATTGCGCATGTCTCCACTGCTTGTGTGAGTACAGCTCTTCCTTGGCGAAGACACCGGGGGGTATGGCGAGATTTCGTCGCTGTAGAAGTAGGTGGTTTGGAGTGAGTGGCTCCATGTCACTTGGATCATCACTTGCTGGGGAAATGGGACGACTGTTTAGAATGGACTTGACTTCGGCGAATACGGTGCGCACGGTTTCCAAAGGGATTGCAGCGCCTGGTTTGCTCAAGACAGCATCCATAGCCTTCTGCACACTTCTAACAAGCCTCTCCCACACGCCTGACATGTGACTCGCGGTAGGGGGCTGGAAACGCCACCTTGGCAACACATATTTGAATCAATCCGCATCGTACGAATGTAGCTCTCTCTTGATTTGTTCTTCATTCAGTTCTCGAACCGAACGCTGAAGTTCCCTCTCAGCGCCAGTAAAATTAGTGTCGTTATCTGACCAGATCTCCTTAGGGCAGCCGCGAACAGAGATGAACCGGCACAGAGCCAAAATAAACGTATCTGTTTCTAAGGAACTAACATCTTCGATGTGGACTGCCCGGCTGTTAAAGCACACGAATATGCAACCATACACTTTGATAACGTTACGAGCGCGCTTCACATAGAAGGGGCCAAAGAAGTCGAGGCCCGTAAAGGTGAACGGGGGATGATAAGGTAACAGCCTTTCCTTTGGCAGGTCCGCCATCGCTTACTGTAAGGCAGGCATGTTCCGCTTGCGGCAACTTATACACTTGCTCAGGATCTGACGCACCAAAGCTCTTCCTCTCAGTATCCAGTAACGTTGGCGGAGGACGGACAACACATGTTCACGGCCTGCGTGGCCCAGCACATGGTGGTAGTAACGAACTATCAATACAGACACAGGGCTTGACTTTGGAAGAATCACTGGGTGGGCGGCCTCAAAGGTAATCGGCGCACGGTGAATTCTTCCTCCAACACGTATAATGCCATCAGTTAGGATCGGACTAAGAGTGGCCAGACTACTGCTACATTTCAACTGTCTGCCTTCTTTCAAAGCCATGTACTCTTCACGGAAATGTTGGTGCTGCACCAGTCGCGTAATTACTTCGCTTGCTCGCTGAAGCTCAACAAGGGTAAGTGTACGTCCGACGACACATTCAGGTTTTTCCTTCTTTAGTGGCTTGACAAAGCGAAGCACCCACGACATCACTCTCAGCAAACGGGACCACAACGAATAGCGCTGTAATGGGAGATCAACTTGGGACGTGTCAGTAGTGAACATGATTGTGCCTGGTTTTCGTATTTCTTTATATATCATCACTTCGAATGTCTTCCACCTGAGCATTAGGCCACTGTTGTTCAGGCTGCCACAGAAAGCAAGGACCTGACCACCACCAACATCCGGGTTGGAAATGCTCTATGGTGACGCCCCGTGAACCCTCATCAGCGGGGTTCATACTACCTGGGACATGATGCCACTGTTCTGGGGAGGTTGATTCATGAATTTCGGCCACGCGATTGGCAACAAAGGTTTGGAAGCGCCTAGTTTGGTTCTTGATATATTGCAGGGACGTCATTGAGTCAGACCAGAAAAAGGTTTCATCTACTTGCAGATTAAGCTCCTTCAGAATTGAGCTACTTAGCCGTACCGCTAACACTGTCGCTTGCAGTTCTAGGCGAGGTATGGTCCACTCTTTAATGCGCGCATTTCTGGTCTTGCCCATAACGAAGGAACAGTGGATCACTCCTTGCTCATCAACGAACCGTAGGTAAGACACTGCTGCATAACCATGCCTTGACGCATCGGAAAAGTTGTGCAACTGCACAGTGGCTTGTGCACTAAGGCACTGGGTCTTGTAACACCTTGGTATCTCGATTGTAGTAACACACGGCAGCTCTTGCAACCACTTCTGCCAGAGGGACGAATACGGCTCTGGACTTTCTTGATCCCAAGACAACTTCTGCCTCCACAGCTCTTGTAACAGAATCTTGGCTGTGAACACAAAGGGTGAAAGAAATCCCAACGGATCAAATAGGGAGCTTACGACGGAAAGTACTCCTCGCTTGGTGGATGGCTTGTACGCCTGTAAGGCCTTGGACTTAAAAGTATCTGACTGTGCGTCCCAGTAGACACCCAACGCTCGCTCTAAGGGTAACTGGTCTAGATCTAGGTCCAACTTGGGATTCGCCCTCGACGCGGGAGGAATTGAGGCTAGTAATTCACGACTACTGCTCGCAAACTTTGTTAGGCGGAATCCTCCTTCTCTCAACAACTTCATAAGATCTGAGGCCATAGGTATGGCTTGATCAGTATTTGGGAGGGACTTCAGGACATCGTCCACATAGAAATTTCTACGAACTGTTCTGATCACTTCAGGTGGGTAATTTTCTTCATTGTCTTGAGCTGTCATGCTTAACGCCTTGTTGGCATAGCAGGGTGAGGACTTAGCACCAAAAATATGGACCAACATTTTGTATTCTTCTGGAGGCTCGTCAATACCCTTAGGCCACCACAAGAACCTCAGAGAATCTGTATCACTTGGGGTTACTCTGGTTTAGTAAAACATGCCCTCGATATCTGCTGAGAAGGCAATTTCGTCCTCACGGAAACGAATCAACACTCCAGACAGGTCATTTGTCAGACTAGGTCCTTGTAGGAGCTGTTCGTTTAGGGATGTGCCGCTGAATCTTGCAGCCGCGTCACACACCACTCTCACCTTTCCTGGCGTGTTCGGATAGCTTACTGGGTGGTGAGGCAGGAACCATGTGGTTTTGCTGACTGTTGCTGCTTCCTCCTTTGTGAGCTTTCTTGCATATCCCTCGGTCACACAGTCTTCAATCACAGCTCTATATTTGACTTCAAGTTCTGGATCTCGAAGGAAGCGTGTCTTTAAGTGTTGCAGTCTCGCTTCAGCTAGTGTTCTGTTGTAAGGAAGCACAGGACTGTCACTCTTCCACAGGAGGCCCATCTCATAATGGCCATCATGTTTACAGATTGAATTGGATATCAAGTTCATAGCTCTTTGGTCCTCCACAGACAGGGGCTTGGTTTCACACTTGCTCGTACCATAGGACTCGACTCTCCAGAATTCTTCAAGCTGGTCACTTAGGGTAACATCCTCCCCATTAATGAGATTGACTTGCACAGGAGTGGAAGAAGGTACACTGGGACAGCCACCAAGTATACTCCAACCAATACAGGACTTGATTGCGATCGGCTCATTTGATTTACCTCTTTTAACTTCAAGCGGCATGAAGACCTCTTGGATGTTTGTACCAAGCAGGATAGAAATCTTACTTCTCTCTACTTCCGGGAAGCACACTTGCCGCAGATGTGGCCACTGTCCAACAGACCTTGTCACCTTTGTGTGCTTTAGGGGAATTGTAAGATCCTTTACAGCCCAGGCAGATTTGACATCAATCAGATTGTCATTCTCGCTGTCTAGTGAAGCAATTTGGAAGTCAACTCTCAGACCCTCTTCTTCTGTATCGGCATTGTTTACTGTCGTGAGTGACAGCTTACTTGGTGAGTCCTTAATGTTCGGCAGTTTCACGAGAGACGGGTCAATCATGGTTATGTCGGAGCCTGAGTCTAGTAGGCCAAAGGTAGTAATCTGGTTGCCAGACTTACTAATCACTCGAACTGGGATGACTTGAAGCAACAATTCACAGGAACTAAAAGCGGCCACTGTGGAGTACATAGAAATAGTGGCTTGATTAGGCCTTAAGCCTTGATTAACGTCCTCACCGTTAGGACCGTCTCTTTGCTGGTTCCCTCTGTCTCTAGGTTCAGTGAAGTGTAACAATGTGTGATGTGACTTCCACAACCTTCTACCCTGCACCTGATTAAGGACTTGCACTTCCTTGAGTTGTGTTTAGTTGAGTTGATACAATTGAAGCAAATCTTCTTCTGTTTTACAAAGTCATTTCTCTCCCTCGGAGACTTGGATTTGAATACTTCACAACGGTACAGTGGATGGTGTTGATGGCACATTGCACAGGATTCAGGATGTGTTTCTGTTAAAGAATAGGTAAAACCCTTAGGAGTTCCTGACTTAGTAAAGAAAGGGTGGCTCAGGACAAACGCTCTCTCCTTGAGGAAATCTACTACATCCTTAAAATTTGGCATCTTCTGTCCCTTACGCTCGAGATTCTTCAAATGTTCGGCAAATTTCGATTGCATCCACTTTGGCAGCCGCGCGATGACTTTCCCCAGATTATCTATATTCATCTCACTAAGGTATCCCATTGACTCTAAGGTATCATAGGTAACTTGCGTAGTATCAGCATAGCGCTGTAGGCTGTCCTTATCATTCGCTTGTATAGCAGGTCCCTTCGTAAGTGATTCAACACATGCTCTCACTACTTGAAATGGCTGGCCAAACCGTTCCCCTAGTGTCTTGATTGCCTTTGCCAGGCCACCAGGCATTGGCTCATATCTCTGCACTGCGGTCAGGGCAGGACCGTTCAAGAACTGTAACAGACAGGTCATTTTCACAGCATCACTGAGAGGCCTGGTTTCAACCAACTGCTTAAATCTCTGACGAAAGGCTGGGTAATTTTCAGGGGATCCATCAAACTTCTGAACTTGCACATGTGGTAGATCATAAGCGGCACTCATTTTCTCCATTGAAGACATGATAGCAACAAGACTCTCATTCATAATTGAACCAGCAGCACTGGGCGTGGCTGTACAGCGGTTGGTGCTCGTGAGACATCGGGTTTCTTCAGTGGGTGGGTCAGCAGGTTGTGACTGGCCGTTGTCTTGAATACGTGGTTTTAACAGTCTCAAGTGTACCCTCATCCGTAACAGTAGGGGTTCTGAAACTTACTCTTGGCACTTTGAAATAAGTGTTTCCAGAAGTGAGTGTATTGGAAGTCTGGGCATTTACTAATCCTGGTGTTGATGTATGAGATGGCTTAGTCACTGGTACATTATTGGCACTAATCACAGATGGTAGAGTTTCGGGTGACACCCTTGAGGATTGAGACTGAGTCCTTTAGGTCAAGATTTGGAGACCATTTGATACCCTCCAGGCCAGTGACTGGATCAGATATTTCCTGTTCTGCAAGGGAAGCCTCTAAATTGGCTAGTTCCACTTGATTTCTTGCAGCTGTAACTTCGCTTTCTGCTTCCAATTTAGTGAGTTCTAATCGGTGTTGCAACTCTAATTCCGTTCGTTTTATTTCCATTTCGACTCTTTTTACCTCCAGTTCTACTAGTTTCTTACTCCTTTCTTCAGCTTGTTGCTGCATAAGTAGGGCCTTCGCTGCTTCTATTTTAGCCCTTTGGGACCTGGAGCTACACACACTTGATTCTGAGACACGACTACCATTAGATTTCACAGATTCTAGAGGGGTGCACTCCTTGATTGATTTCACCTCTTCTAACACTTGGCTGTTATAAAAGGCAGCGGCACTGGCAATAAACTGATCTATTCTCTCATTGTATTCTTGTATCCTTGACTGCTGAATCGCACGGTCGCTCAAGACTCTTTGATACCTTTCACAGCTGGTATCGAGTAAATCACCGTATTTCTCAACACAAACACAATACTGCTCCCACGAGGAATTAAGGCTAGTTCGTATCTTGACGACGTGGCCGAATTCTCCGAGATTTTCATCCAGTTGATGACACAGTTTCGTAATATTAGACAAATATCCCCTTCGGGATCTGTCCAACACCTCCAAACGCTCGAGTAGGATTCCTCGTTGAGTCATGACCTTTGATGTCACTTCGATGCACACGCACAAGTATTTTCACAGTTAAGAATTTGGACGTCCACTAATCACAGGCAAGATGCTCGTATGGTTTTTACGAAGATGTCCAGGGGACAAAAACGCGCCTTCACGACACAAGGGATCCTGCTGAACACAATTTTAATGATCGAGAGTTGCACACTCAGCATATTTTCTTAACAACACAACAGGATCGGTATTGGAGTCTCATCTTTGGCTAACAAGCTTCACATTGCAAGTAAAAACCTACAAAAAAAACACTTAATCACTGTTGGAACCGGATTTGGAAATACACGAGCTCCTAATACTCACCATACGATGAGAAACTCCCGGCGACTAGCGCGTTACAAAGCACATGGTTTCTTTCTCGCTACACGACGACACTGAGACGCGCTCACTAAGCATGCTGGGAGTATAAATTACAAAAATGGAATGGAACGGACTTAGGAAAACGAAATTGTTCTCTTGTTGAGGATTGGCCTCAACAGGAGACCAACCCGAAGATGCTCCTGCAGTTGAAAATCCGCCTCCACCCGTTAATCCACCTATACAGTCTACAGCCTACAGCTTCTGGTCTTCAAAACAAATCAACCCAGGAACAGGTGGGAACATTTCTCTATGTAATGGGCGATTGTACGCATGACGAAGCAACCGCTTCCTTTGACGAAGTCAAAACAGCCCTAAATGGTTATTTTGCAGCCCGCCGAAAAAGACAAAACCCCGGCGAATCCGTGGACACCTTTATTCAAGACTTATACCCCTCGCCAAAAATTGTGAGTACGGAACTCTAAAGGATGAACTTACAGGAGACTGAATTATTGTTGGAGTCCTCGATGATACGCTGTCCGACCGCCTACAAGCTAAATCTGACCTCACTCTCGCGGACGCTGCTCGCATGAGCAGACAAGCTGAAGCAAGAAAACAAAATCGAACCGTTGCCCGTGGGGTAGAAACTCAAAATGAAGTCGATTAGGTTAGTCAGCCACGCTCTCATAACAAGCAACAAACAACCCACCTGTACGTCCAAAAAAAAAGAGCCCTCCAAGAATGACCGTCCCTGTTTTTTGGTGTGGACGCCAGAACCATGACAGGAAGTATTGCCCAGCTAGAGACACTATTTGTTGTAACTGTAACAAAAAGGGACATTTCCAGTCTGTCTGTCTCAGCAAGAAACCTTATCCGAGAAAGGTACATGCAGTAGAAGAAGAAGAGGAGGAAAACATACACTTCCTTGGCGAGATCGGCAGTGCTAAGAACTATTGGTCTGCACAGATAGGAGTGAATGGTCGTACAACACGCTTCAAGCTTGACACGGAGGCGGCAGTGACTGTTCTTAGCGTTGATTTCCAGTGGCTACAAGATGTTGAATTAACCAAGACATCCCAGGTTCTACGTATACGCGGTCCTGGAAACACTCAACTGCCTGTGAAAGGTCTGTTCTATACGACACTAAAGTACAGAGAATCAAAGTTAACTGAGCCTATATATGTGGTGCTTAATCAGAAGTGTTCGTTACTCAGCAGGAGAGCCCGTGTTGAGCTAGGGCTCATAAGACGTGCTGACAAAGATGTCGAGGAGGTGAACACGGGGCTAACAGATTAAAAAGCCAAATTTCCAGCGCTCTTCGATTTTGCGAAATTTGCGGACTTCACGAAGCCCTTCTTGGCGTTTTCTCTTTGTAAAAGTAGAATTTTGAAAAATTTGGTATTCCTGCTATTTTTGCCATATTTGTTACTCAATCTTTTCACATAGCAAGAAAAATTCTTCTTACTTTTTGCGATTTTTGCGACATTTGGTATTTCCTCTATAATTTTCTGATAGCAGTTTTCTTTAAATCTTTTTTGCTAAAATTGCGAAAACAATTTGCTAGCAAATTTTTGCTAACAAGATCGATCCTGGACATAAGTGCAGGACTCTCCACACAAATCGGTGAACTGATCACCCGATGCCACACATGTGCCAAGGAACAACCAACCCCCAGAGAACCACTTAAGCCTTTGTCCTTCCCAGCCCGCCCCTGGGAGAGGGTTGCAACAGACCTATATGATTTTCAAGGAAGAATATATATAATCGTGGTTGACTATTACTCAACGTGGTTTGACATAAAGGAACTCTCTGATGAGACTTCTCATTCGGTCATAAAAACACTCAAGGAGGTTTTCGCCACACATGGCATTCCACATGTCACAATGTCAGACAAAAGGCCACAGTATACTGCAGAGGCCTTTCGACAGTTTGCAGAAGCGTACCATTTCGCACATGTTACTAGTTCACCAAATACCTCCACGCGAACGGCGAAGTCGAAAGAACCATTCGCACAGCAAAATCCACGCCAAGAATAAACGAAGACATCTTCAGCGCCTTCTTGACTTACAGGTCAACTCTTCTACAGAATGGCTACTGAACCAGTGAACTACTAACGGGACACCGTCTGCAAACCTAGCTACCAACTCATCCAGCCAACTTGTACCCTAATGTGTAGATAAAAGACCGCCAGTTAGTAGAAGAAAAGGAAAGCTCGTATCGGTTGAACCAACAGCGCAACTTTGACAAGCGTCATAAAGCAAGGGAACTGCCAACACTTGAACCAGATGACCAAGTTTGGATAAGAGATCAAGTTCGGTGTGGCCTGGTGATAGACGAGAAAACTGAGAAACCCTGATCTTACCTTGTCACGACAGAAAGGACACACTCCGACGAAACCGCTCTGCCTTAGTAGCTGCAGCCAAACCCGCTGAGACCGATCAACACTCAGCTATGCCAGCCGGTGATGTCAATCCTACCTCGCTAGCACGTGTCACCCCTCAATTGCCAGTGCCCAGCACTGCGCTAAGGCCTCAGACTCCGCAGGTGCCCCCATCACCACAGACAGCTGTGCCAGTAGCTACCCTCGGAACAACACTGGAAGAGTGCGTACCTCCACGAAGTCCAAGACCTGCAGTCCCTGTACTTTCCGCTACCTTTTTTTTTTTTCGCTTCTGCCCGCTTCCTTTCTTTCCGGAAACGGGTCTATTCCTTGACTAATTCGGGACCTGAAATCTCTCTAAAAAAAACAAATAAATAAAACAAAGGTTTAAATAAACACTGAAACAATACTATTGATCAAAAACCGAAAAAATTCCGAAAACAAACCCCTCCGTTTATAAGGCCCTCCGAATAGAAATCCCCGACTACAATCTAAACGCAAAAAAGCTTCTACAGTGGAACCTCGCCTTACGGCCACCTCGATAATACGGTCACCTCTTTATCACGGCTAGTTTTTTTTTCGGTCCGGCAAAACGCTCATACATTTCCTTATAAAAAAAACCGTTAATGCGGTCACCCGTTAATACCGCCAACGGCCACATTTTAAAATCCCAAACAGTAGAATCTCTTGTAATTTCACCCCGTTAATACGGCCATCCGTTCGAAATTTAAAAAATTAAAATGTCTGTGACATGTCATTTTATTGACCAAGTGATCTGAGCTTTTTCTTGTACCGCTTTCAGACTAGAGTACACTTAAAACGCACTTGTGGCGACTTATAGCCGAATTTTAAAAGAGTTTCACGTACTGAAGGAAAAATTTGAGTATTTTTTCAGTTACTGTACGCGATATCTACATTCCGGTTGTTAATTCATGAGAACAGCACGGTGAATGCGATGTACGGTGTATTTGTCATTACGACCCTCAATCCATGAAATTTGAGCCAGCCCCTGTAATACGGCCACCCCTTTAATACGGCCAAATTTTTGTTGGGCCATTAGTGACCGTATTAACGAGGTTCCACTGTGGTAATGTCCGTCGTGTATAAATTAAAGGCCCTTAAAGAAGGTCCTGAAAAATATAGGTCCTGATTGTAAGAATGTTGGGTATTTTCTCTAAAAACTCGAAAAAAAATGTTTGGTCTATCAAAAGTGAGTGAAAATTTAATTAGTGAAATAAAATTTATCTCTTAACTTAAAGTTCGCTCCCACACGCAATCAAAGTTGGCCTCATATTTGGGATTTTAAGATAGCACGACGTCAACGGCGAGGAAAACGTCAATTAGAAAGTGACATCGCGTTTTATAAAACTTCACCGCGACTATCTTAACTCGCTCAGTCTGTCTAATGTAGGTGAACTCTCGCGAAGTTGAATTCTTTGCAAAAATATTCGAGTTTAAAAAGAGAAAGAGAAATTCGCCGTAGTCAGCAGCCGATTAACTCCTGCCGTGGTATGTTCACGTTGTCGATAAAACGTGCGAAATTAGGAATTTTCACGTCGTAGTCCCACATTGACGGCAAAGAAATGTACAATTAGCATGCTCCATGTATAATAAGGTTGTTGTTTTGCCAATCGGCTAAAGACCAAAAACCTATTTTTTTTTCTTTACACGTAATGTCACGTTCTTGATTGCATGTCGAAATTTTTTCTAACTGCCGCGTTCGTGTATGGTAGCGTTATAAAAGAGCACAGCATAATACGGCTGACTAATGTCGCATGTCCTTGCCGATCCAGTTTATTTACCTGTTATGCGACCTGTACAACGTTGATAACGAAGCAAGTTGACGGTTTTGTATGGAGAGGGATTTCAAGATGGCACAACTGCAAGAAACAAGATAGCATTTCGAAACATTATGTGACGACAAAGAGGCCAGGAAGTGAAGCGGAATCAAAGGGGCTTACACTAGCCCCCTCTTCATTTTTCAATCTCCGAAAATGTTATATTTCCGGTTAAAGAATCATAATTTGATAAAGTGACGTAATAGTGATGTCATTATGATGGAAATATCATATTTTGGTGAACTCTTACTCGTGGTTACTCGTGGTCATTCGTCGTCACTATCAGTCTCTCGTGTTTACTTTTAGACACTATCTCTTATCACCGCAGATTGTCATAAACATAACCGCAAAGACGGCAAATGGCCGTGGGAGTCTAACGCCTCCGGCAAATGCCTGCTGTGAATTCCTGAACGGGCCTAAGCCTCTCGGGAAGGAGCTGTCAAAACGGAACCTCTATA